AAAAAAAAAAAAAAAATATATATATATATATATATATATATATATATATATATAAAAAAAAAAAAAATATTAAAAAAAAAAAAAAAAAAAAAAAAAAAAAAAAAAAAAAATATATATATATATATATATATATATATATATATATATATAAGAGAAGTTTTAGATTCGCAGCAAAATGGAGTGGAAAGTACAAAGGGTTCCCATATATTCCCTGATCCAACACCAGCACACCCTACCCTAGCATCAACATCCCACACCAAAGTGCCACGTTTGTTGTAATTGATGAATCTACATTCACACATCATTGTCATGCAAAGTTTATGGTTTACAGGAAGGCATGGCTTAATGTCCAAATGCATAATGTTTTGACAAATGTATAGTATCCATCATTATAGTCACATGCAGAATAGTTACACTGCCCTAAAAATCCTGTGTTCTACCTATCCATCCTTCTACCCCTTCCCTCCCCAACCAGTGGCAACCACTGATCTTTTTACTGTCTCTGTAGTTTTACCAATTCCAGAATGTCATATATTTGGAATCATACAATATGCAGCCTTTGACAGATTGATTTCTGTCACTTAGTAATACGCATTTAAAATTCCTTCATGTCTTTTCGTGGCTTGATAGCTGATTTCCAAAAGTGGCCCCACAGAGCTTCCTAGTGATGCCAGCACGTTTCTTGGACTTCCCAGCTTCCAGAAATGTGAGAAATGAATGTTTGTTTACAAGCCACCGAATCTTTGGTGTTTTTGTAAGAGCAGCCTGAATGTCTCAAACAGTTCTTTATCAGATACGTCTTCTATAATTATTTCCTAGTTTTGTGGCTTGTCTCCTCAGTCTCTTGATGTATACTGTTTACATCTGTTTATTGGCCATTCATATATCTTCTTTGATGAAGTCTATGTTCGAATCTGTAGTCTATTTCTTTTCATTGCAATTTTTAAATTGTTGAGTTTGAGAGTTCCTTATATATGCTCTGGATACAAGTACTTTTTCTGATAAATGTTTTGCAAATATTTTCTCCCCAGGCTGTTTCTTATCTTTATTCTTTTAATAATGTCTTTTAAAGAGCCAAAGTTTTTCATTTTGGTGAGGTATAATTTATCAACTTGTTCCTTTATGGGTTGTGCTTTTGATACTGTATCTAAGAAATCTTTGCAGGGTCACCTGCGTGGCTCAGTCAAGTGTCTGCTTTCAGTTCAGGTCATGATCCCAGGGTCCTGGGACTGAGCCCCACGTTGAGCTCCCTGCCTTTGCAAGGAGTCTGCTTTGCCCTCACCCTTTGCCCCTCCCCTTGCTTGTGCTTGCTCTCTGTCTCTCAAATAAGTAAAATCTTTAAAAAAAAAAAATCTTTGCCTAACCTAATTAGGCATATCGTGACAAACATCTCTTATTTTTTTTTAATTAAGATTTTTATTTATTTGACAGTGAGAGAGACAGCCAGAGAGAGAACACAAGCAGGGGGAGTGGTAGAGGGAGAAGCAGGCTCCCCAGTGAGCAGGGAGCCTGAATTAGGCCTCCATCTCAGGACCCTGGGATCATGACCCAAGCCGAAGGCAGATAGATGCTCAACGACTAAGCCACCCAGGCACCCCCTCCTATTTTCTTTTAAAAGTTTATGGTTTTAGGTTTTGTGATCATTTTTTTTAAAGATTTTATTTATTTATTTGACAGACAGAGATCACAGTAGGCGGAGAGATAGGCAGAGAGAAAGAGGAGGAAGCAGGCTCCCTGCTGAGCAGAGAGCCCGATGCGGGGGCTCAATCCCAGGACTCTGGGATCATGACCTGAGCCGAAGGCAGAGGCTTTAACCCACTGAGCCACCCAGGTGCCCCTTTGTGATCATTTTTAATTTTTGTATATGGTGTAAGGTATGGTTCCAAGTTCTTTTTTATTGTTTTGCTAATGGCTGTCCAGTTGTTCCAGCATCATTTCTTTAAAAGTTTATCCTTTTTTCCATTATAATTGTCTTTGTGACTTTATCAAAAACCAATTACCCACATATGTGTGGGCTTATTTCTGGACTCTGTTCTGTTTTATTGATCTATTTGTACAAAATGCTATTTTTATTGCTGTTAACTTCATAATAATTCTTGAAACTAGGTAGAGTTAGGCCTCCAATTTTGTTCTTATTCAGAACAAATTTGTTTGTTTGGACTATTCTGGGTCCTTTGTCTTTCATATGAATTTTATAATTAATTTCTCAATTTCCACCAAAAAAAATCCTGTTGGGATTTTATGATTGCATGAAATTTGAGGAGCAAAGAAAATCTTAATATTTTTATGATGCATGAACAAGATGTATCTCTTTATTTGCTTAGACTGTCTTTATTTGGTCTTAGCAATATTTTGTAAGTTTTCAGTGTTAGCGGTCTTTCCCATCCTTTGCTATATTTATCCCAACATATTTCATATTTTTGATGCAATTGTAAATGGCATTTTAAAAATTACTCATTATGTATTGTTAGTACATAGAAATAGAGCTGATTTTTGTATGATCTTGAATCCTGCATTCTTTTTTTCAAGATTTTATTTTTAAGTAAGCTCTATACCCGATACAGAACTTGAACTTACAACCCTGAGATCTAGAGTTGCCTCTCAACAGACTGAGCCAGCTAGGTGAGGTGTCCTTGAATCCTGCGT